GAACTCCACCTCAATCTTTAGCATGTAACAAGATTGAGCAAGTTCAAACAATGCTTGAACTTTGCTGTTGTGACTGGCTTCATTAGACAATCTGAAGCGTTCTCATTTGTATGAACCTTCCTTATCATGATGTCTCCATCGTTCACCCAATCTCTTATCCGGTGGTACCGAACATCAATGTGTTTTGATCTTCCGTGGAATGCTTGATTCTTCACTAGGTGTATAGCACTTTGACTATCACTTTGTATCACCACCAAGTCTTGGGCAATCCCGAATTCCTTTGCCAATCTCTTCAGCCACACCGCTTCCTTTGAAGCTTCCGTTAGCGCCATATACTCCGCTTCTGTAGTAGACAAGGCACTAACCGATTGTAACACCGCTCTCCAACTAATCGGTCCTCCACCATAAATCTCCTGCATAATCAGAATCCACATAACCCGACACACATGCTTTTCCTTGTTGTCTTTCAAACAATATCCCAATCCTCTTGGTGCCCTTCAAATACCTGAGAATCCACTTCGCTGCTGTCCCATGTTGTTTGCCCGGATTCGGCATGTATCTTGACACAACACTTACGGCTTGGGCTAAGTCGGGGCGTGTGCACACCATTGCATACATGAGACACCCTACCAAGCTTGCATATGGAACTTTACTCATTTCTTCCTTCTCCTCATCTGTAGAAGGACAATCCTGCGCACTTAATTTAAAATGCTCCGCCAAAGGAGTAGAAACCGGCTTGCAATCCATCATGTTGAACTTTTCAAGTACTTTGGAAATGTACTTGCTTTGTGACAGCCATAGCTTGCCTCCATTTCTGTCTCTCCTTATCTCCATACCTAGGATCTTTTGTGCAGAACCAAGATCCTTCATGTCAAACTCCCTTCTAAGTGATGTCTTCAATTCCTGGATTTTTGACATGTCTTTACATGCAATTAGCATGTCATCAACATAAAGAAGCAAAAGGATGAAATTACCATCCTTGAATGCATGAGTGTATACACAGAAATCTGATTCACATCTTCTATACCCAATCTTCATCATGAAAGAATCAAAGCACTTGTTCCACTATCTTGGAGATTGCTTTAGCCCATACAAAGACTTCTTCAACCTACAAACTAGATTTTCCTTGCTTGCTTCAATGAACCCTTGAGGTTGGCTCATGTAGATGTCTTCCTCCAAGTCCCCATGAAGAAAAGCAGTCTTCACATCCATTTGTTCCACCTCCATGTTCTCTTGAGCTACTAAGAAGAGTAGTAGCCGTATAGAAGTATGTTTCACCATCGGAGAGAAAATTTCATCATAATCAACTCCCTCCTTTTGCAAGTATCCTTTAGCCACCAACCGAGCTTTGAAAATGGTGGCTCCCTTCCCATGCATATCTTCTTTCTTCCTAAACACCCATTTGCAGCCAATAACCTTTCGACCTTTGGGTTTAGGAACTAACTCCCAAACTGAGTTCTGGTGTAGAGATTCCATCTCTTGCATCATAGCTTCCATCCAACTTTCCCGTTCCTTGTTCTCAACAGCCTCTTGGAAGGTGGTTGGTTCTTCTTCACTAGCATTCAAAGCATAGTGAACTGCATCCTTGTCCCATCCAAACCTTTGAGGTGGTTTGATGGTTCTCTTGGGCCTGGATCGAGCTATAGATGATGGCTCCACCTGTTCTTGAGCCTCTTCTTCTTCTTGAGGTTGTTGTTGTTGTTGACCAGCATCTTCCTCCTCAATGTCGGACTCCACCTCCTCCTGAACGTCTTCAGTTGGCTGTTCTTGTGAAGTTTCCCTAAACACATTCTTGAGTGGAACTTCAATGGTTGTTTCTCTCCCAACAACATCCTCCTTTGCCTCTGAATTCTTGACTTTGTTCATAGGCATGGTCTTTTCATCAAACACAACATCCCTGCTTAGTACCTTCTTATGGTTCACTGGATCCCATAGCTTGTAGCCCTTCACCCCACTCTCAAATCCGATGAAAATGCATTCAAGAGACTTTGGCTTCAACTTGGATCTTTCATCACTAGGAATAAGCGCATATGCACTGCATCCAAACACCTTAAGATTAGTATAATCAATTGACTTATTAGACCATACCTCCTCTGCACATTTGAACTCAAGATTTCTTGAAGGCGATCGATTAACCAAATAGGCAACATGGTTAACTGACTCCGCCCAAAATGACTCAGGCAATCCCGCATGAATCCTCATACATCACTCACGCTCCATGAGAGTTCTATTCATCCTTTACGCAGCTCCATTTTGTTGGGGCGTCTTCTTCACGGTAAAGTGCCTCTTAATGCCTTCATTTCTACAAAACTCAAGGAACTTGCTGTCTTTATATTCACCACCGTTGTCACTCCTTAGAATCTTGATTTTTCTTCCAGTTAGGTTCTCCACTTCCGCCTTCCACTCTTTGAATTTGGTGAAGATCTCAGATTTCTCCTTCATGAAGTAGACCCAAACCTTCCTAGAAAAATCATCCAAGAAAGTCACAAAGTAACGAGCTCCACCTTTTGATTTAACCGGTGATGGCCCCCATACATCCATGTGAATATAATCTAGCACACCCGTGCTACCCTCCTCCTTGTTTCGTTGCTTGAAAGCTACCTTTGATTGCTTTCCCATGGTACATGATTTGCAGAACTCAAGCTTGCAACTTTGAACACCTTTCAACAACTTTCTGTTGTGTAGTTCCAGCATGCCCCTCTCACTCATGTGCCCTAGCCTCAAATGCCAAAGCTGAGTTTCATCCTCCGAGTCCTTGCTTATGGATACAGCTGCTCCACCTGAAATTGTTGTACCACACAAAATATATAGA